GATCCATTTCCTTGTGACGATGTTGTCATGGGGTAAAAAATAAACCTGGGAATTTCCCTTAGACCTTCGTCTGAGTTCATTTTCTACATTGTCCCAATCCACCCCGTTTAACGGCATTCAATTTATTTCTCATGAACCAATTGTACGTGCTATGTGGCTAATGCAGGTGCATGTTATGGCCCTTAATAACAGTTCAAATTACTGAAATGGCTACCATGCTGGAATAAAAGTAGTATTCTTCAAAAGATATTACTTAATTTTGCAATCAGGGTGATCGTTAACCGATTTTCGGGTTACTTTGACAAAACTTTTGTAAAAAAAACGAGTTTGACAGAAAATTTGACTGAATGGATTTGTTTGGCAAATTTCTGGCAGAATTCTACACAAATGGTTATTTGACAGAATAACAGCAAATTTGAACAAAAAAGTGTTCATATTGTTAAAAAAAAGTTTCAATCCTTTCATACAAACCCTTGCATAATGGGACAGGTTGGCTGGTCTAGGTGCTGAGGTTCACTAAGAAACGAGCTTCGTCGTGGCCGGATCCGCGCTTTGCCCAAAATTTACCAATAATTTCACAACATCGTTAAGTGACTAGATTGTTTATTATGTAATATTAATGAATATTAATAACGGAAATACTACCGATCTGCATGTGATTTTAAGGGTTTATAGTGTATTTCGAGTAATTCTGGGAATTTGGCAGATTGTTTTTATAAATATGACAGATTTTTGATGCGCATTTAGCAGAATTTGGCTCTGACCTTACGGCCACCGTGTCTGTAATTAGGACTTGTTTAATAAAAAAAGTTTTAGGCAAACAGGATGTTTGACAACTTTCATGTTGTAGTTTATGCTGCGTGTTACCCCGTTGCTCAAAAGGGAGTGAATTCGAATTTCGAAGCATTTACAATTTCTGTGGGACACGGACCCACAGGGCCGGGTGTCTTACGATTGCACCATTCTGCTTGTCTTTCCGAGCATGACGTCAGTTTCACTATATATATATAGGGGTTGGGCAAAAAGGGGTTTTATCAACTGTGAGCCTTCTCCTTTGATAGTAACAGTGGATCCGTTCTTGTCAATTCTGCACTGTACACAATAATTCAGTTTTGCAATACATTTCAGGCATGCAACTTTTTCTCGGATCTGCTGATGTCCTCTTTTTTATTCTCATTTATTTTGCCTTTCAAAATTGAACAACACAAAGTATTCTGAATTTAGGAATTTTCTCTTTTTTTGTGAATTTACAGTTGCATGCCTGAAATTTAGTTAGTGGAAGAGATTAAAGCACGATTTATTAGGCAAGCCATATACGAACTGTATTGAAGACTCAATCGGAATCCCTTTTGTCGTCACGGTGAGTAGAATGGGCGTAAATTCCACCCATTTGTGAGACATGTTAAACCTGTAACAGCTTTTATACTGGGTGCACATTATCTTTGTTTTTATCCTCATTAAACCACAGATGGCCCCGCGTTGATGACTCATGAAAGCTTTGCCATTTGTGACTGTTTGTAAGGGATGGACGGTCCTTTTCCCCCTTGGCCCCTACGTTTGAGTATTATGGAGACATTGAGTCTGTCTCGCAATTCCACAGGGAGATGAAGCCCTATGCTAAGATATACATGCGGTAGAGTCAGTTAAGGCTTGGCAAGTTGGCATGACCAGACATATGATACTCCAAGAAGGCTTCTCTTTGCGGCAATAAATTGTATCAACAGGGAAGTTATTTTTCTAATTAATACCAAATTGACTTCACACTTCACAAGAAGAAATTTCCTGCATAAAGTCTTTTCACAATTGTGGGTACGTGACTCTACTGTTATTTTCCTTTGTAGGCACCAAACTCTACCATCGGGAGGGTGGCGGGGGGGGGGGGGGTCAATAAAGGGCAACATTTCCCTACCGTGGAGAGTGAGAAAGGGGGTGGGGCTGAATCCTACGTCACTAGACGGCTGTGCATGTGGTTGTCCAACGTTTGATTTATTGGTACGATTAATTCCCTTCCAGACAGTTTCTTTTGTTAAAGGTACAATCAGCAAGTAATGAGCATTGACATTGCGGCTCGGATACGGAGCATGAGTGGGTATGAAGAGAGGGAAAACATGGGGGAGATGCCCCTCCCTCCACCCACTGCAGTTCTTGAGGTTTATAGCACGATGCACAAGAACGAAGGTCGCCAAAATATTTCAAGTTTTTCTTGCACAACGAATAACTGCCATGTCTTTATATCCAAAACAGTAATGGTCTGCTGAACTCCTGAGTCAACTAATAGACCTGAGACATAATGACGTCACGCTTTGGTAACATGTGCACTTTCTTTTTGGAGCTCGGTGGCTCTCGTGCCCACCTGGCTCTTATAGAGAAGTGCACATGTAAGTAAAACATGACGTCATCAGTTATATTAATGACTGCAGTAGTTTCGTGTACACAGGCCTACATATACACCCTTTTAAACCTTAGTGACTGAATGATTTGATTGATCCAATAAACTGGGCTGGCCAATTTAAAATGTTAAGCTCCAAGATGTTCCAGTTGAAGCTACTTTGGAATTTTATTCTTAGAAAGTGTTTCAACATCCAGAGAGTGGGCGAAAGTGCCGTCCAATTGGCGTCCTGGGCTCCTCGGTTTTACACAACAGGTTGGAGATAACTTGGGAAAAATATTTCAGTTTCATTGGTGGATATCGAGTGGGTGCGGCACAAAACAATCACTTGCACATTTAACATGCACATTTCGATACCAAAGCCGTAATATATAACATTTAGCTTGCGAGGGTTGAAATACAAAGATATACATCTAACTATAATTCCAGGAATTCCAGGGTGTGCGTTTGTATGATGCCTGTGTCATACGCATGCACACAGTACGCAGGATTCACGTATTTTCCGAAAGCATTTTCAAAGCGGCGGGGCCAGGATATATGCGTAGTGTATGTCTGCCTGCTATTTGGATTTGGGCAGATGGTGCCATTTATCTACATTCAGTCTATATATTCAATAGCTATGTACGTTGTTTCATCGTTTCTTTTTTTTTTCTCGAAAGTCTACCAAAGTGGAATTCTCCTTTAATTAACCTTTCCAAAGGTACTTCACTTGATTCGGAATAAACTGTCAAAGACGATGAAAAGTCCCAAGAATCAACGTTAATTTCTTTGCAATTGAGACACCGATGAACATGACAATCAAAGGTAATGTTTCGAGAGTATTTTCCCAAGAAGTGTCTTGCCGAAAAGCTCACATTCTTTTTTGCTACTAAATTATCGGGTTTTTTTTCTGTCGATTTATTAATATATATCTCGAATACCAACAACTGATTTGTAATATTAAGTGATTGAAAAAACGGCGTGCTGTGAGCTGTTTTTATGCAAAACGAGCAAGTGCATAAAAAAATTAGAAAACAGCGGTGGAGAAACGTGTGTTTTTGAAGTTGTTAATTCAAGTTGAATTATAAGCTGCCTGGATAATCCCTTGCCCTTCTTCGACTTATAGTCAGCCTTTTACAGGGCGAAAATAAAAGCGAAACTCTACCTAGTCATTATAATCATGAAGAGAAAAACTTGACAGCAAATTGAAAGAGGTAAAGTTGTTTCCTGCTTTACGCTTTAACATTTTGCATGCCTTTTGTTGACAACAATGGACATATTTCCCTGTGTCGCTGTTGTCATGGGATAAAAAATAAACCTAGGAATTTCCCTTGGACCTTCGTCCGAGTTCACCACGTATCTGTTCAAGACCTGCAAGAGGTACTCTGGATTTATTCTGATTTTTAATACAGTTTGAAAGAAAATCTATATTTAAGATCGATATTACTCTGCAGTTTCTACTAGTGTAATATAGCTCCTTCATGCTGGACCGAAGTTTGGAGCGAAACTCTACCTAGTCATTGAAATCATATAGACAAAACTTCAATATACAGCAATTGTAAAGGGTTAAGTTGTTAACTGCTTTACGCTTCAATAATTGTGCATGCCTTTTGTTAGCAACAATGGCTCCATTTCCATGTGACGATGCTGTCATTGGGTAAAAAAACAAACCTGGGAATTTCCGCTGGACCTCCGTCGAGTTTATTACCACGTAGCTGATCAAGACCTGTATTTAACAAGTGCTCTCGATTGAAACAGTCAGTGTTTTTATTCTGATTTTTAATACAGTTGAAAGAAAAGTGAGATTTAAGATCGATGCACACTGCAATGTAAAGCCAACCATATTTTAAGCCAGACGGTCTATGCAGTACGCGGTATTCCGCGTGTGTACAGGCATGGAGCGTGGTTGGTACATGCAATTCATTTGAGGCTTGACTTAATTGTATGTATAGCCTCAAGCATAAACATCTCTATCTGGCAGGCGGGGAGGGCGGCGATCAAATGAACGCTAATTTGTTGTGCCATGCTCTCTGTTGGGCAGTCAAGACGAAAGTGAAGCATATATTATACGCCTCCCTATGAGTCTCAGACGTTTATTGTTATAGACGCAGTGGACTACAAAACCCATAACAATAGTTCAGTTTGCCCCTTGCGAGTTTTACTAAAGATTGTTATGTAATCTCCCAGACAGTTCAGTTAAACCCTTGCAGCTGAGAAAGTACAATCTTAAAGACTTATAATTATGTATGGAATTCACCCACTGTAAAAGAAGGTACTCGATCGTGTTCCATAAATAAGATTAATACTAGATCTAGATTAATCTCTTCTATAAGATGGAATTTTGAGTCGAGGTGATAGAAATCAAAACTATAGTTGTTTCCTGCTTTACTCTTCAATAAGTTTGCAGGTCTGTTATTAGCAACAATGGATCATGTTTGTCACGATGTCGTCATTGACTACAAAATAAATCTGGGAATTTCCCTTGGCCCCCGTCCGACTTTTACCATGCAGCTCTTCGAGACCTGCAACAAATGATCTCGACTGAAACAGGAAGTGCTTTTGTTCAGATTTATTTAACACAGTACGTTGAAAGTAAATCGAGAATTAAAATCAATAACACATACTTGAAATCAGACGGTCTATGCAACACCCGGCGTACCGCGTGTATATAGGCATGGAGCGGGGTTGGTACATAATTTTAGGACTGATGATGTTGCACTATGCGACTCTTATCTTGACGGTTCATGCAAGCAAGGAAGCGTGTGAGGTGTGTGAGTGTAGCGACCACGGGACTCGCATAGACTGCAGTGATAGAGGTCTGATGGAGTTACCGAAGGGGATACCAAACGACACCAAAGTCCTGTAAGTGAAACAATTATTATTGCTGGCACTACAACGTCCTTGTTTTACCTTTCTGACTGACTCCCCCCCCCCCAAAAAAAGACTCCCTGTCTCGTTTTTCTCTACCCCCGTTTTCCTTCAAGAACATCATAGGAAAGAGAAAACCGGGGACAATGTTGTAAACAAAAAGCCAAAGAGAAGAATCGAATCCCTCTTGTACTGTACCTTAAATTGAAATTTTTCACTGTACATTAAACTGAAACTTTTACTGTACAATACAAAGACTGGAGAACCACTGAAATGGCATTAAACTGCAAAAAATATATACGTATACGTATGAAATAGATTTGAACAGGGACCTCAGATGATGGTCCCCGTCCCCGTTATTCGATTTTTTTCCACGGTCGATATATCTAAGCACGCAAATTTATGCAACCCTGCGGCCCAGCCAATCGGAGTCGACTACATTGTGACGTCATTACATTTCGAAATCTGGCTATATTTGTGATTTTTCATTTCAAATGCAGTGTTTTTTTTTTATTTGTAATACAACAATGGGCATATGCCCATTGTACAAGCTTGGCACTGTGTAAGATAATACACAGCGCATGACCGCTGCCTGCCTTTGCAAATGACCAAATACCCTATATAGAAAGCGCCCATTGATTGGTCAAGATCTAGAGGTCAAGAGGCGGTTGTCTTCCATCATTAATCAGCAAATCTGATCATAGACTACCAACTTCCAAACCAATCCCCCTCCCCCAACCCCCCCCCCCCCCAAAAAAAAAATCCCCCCCCCCTTCACCGCGACTGCTGACTGACTGACTGCTCCTGGAAAGCTGGGTGGTGGTTTCAGATAGGATTACATTGCAACAATGAAGCAGCCAAGAGTCTTTTAGTATCTCTCTGACTGACTGACTGCTCCTTGTGAGCCGGGCAGTGTAATCATTTAACGCCGATGAATGCGCTTCAACCCCTAGGTGTAGACCAGATGGATAAAAACACAGCAGTGAATAGCCATTCACAATCAATTGAATAGTATATTGTGATCTTGTACCAGCTTTACTACGGTTGCTTTGTCTTGTGTATTTTTAGTTGATTTCATTGCATAATTGATTACAACAAAGCAAGCATTTCTTGAAATAAAAAGCTCGTATAACTTTTTCTTTTCCAAATTCAACTTCGACACTGCAGGTTTATGTCAAGTTGTACGGTGGCCCTGGAACGACATGTTAATATTGACCTTTTTAATGTGAGCCTTGTAACCTCTTAATATTGACGTTGTACCTTCGCATTATGCACGTTGCCACACGTGGCTTAATATCGCATTTTGGAAGTTGTTCCTTCTTAATGTGAATGTTCCAACTTGTTAATATTCACGTTCGATCTTGTCAGCAAATTTGCACTGTTATGCAAGTGAATAATGTTATGCATCTTGTTAATATCATTGTTGAACCGTCCTCCTTCGCAATGTACGAAGTCCTTGCCAAGCCCTATAGTTAGACAACCAGTTATGATGGCGTTTCAATCTGACGGCTGTTCAATGTCACTTAACCTGGGCGTCTATCTTGTATTGATTGTTATCATGACCCAAGGCTCTCTGTTTTATTTCACTCATCTTTTAAAATTCACGTTCAGGCTAACCATAACCCAAGGTTGGGCATACATGTAAAAACATGGATCCTGAAGCAGATTTGTCATAGTTTCAAATAACCTGATCTAATCATTTCAACCGTTTACTATACACACATTTATACCGGTTTGCTTTCTGAATGTAATGATTTCTTTCTTCCTGTACTTTCATCTTTGCCATATCCCAATAATTTTTGACTCGCCAACAGGGTTCCTCACCAAATAGTATGAGGGTACCCGCTGTTTTGACGAGCATTTCGTTTATGGGCTATTGCTAAGTCGAACCCTAAATATCCCCCCCCCCCTCCCGGATATCCGAGCCTGACCGCAACATGAAGAATATTCGCAATTGGCTGACTACCAGTCATGCATGCATGAACTCCAAGCAAACAACTTCGTATAGGGTGCCCCGGCTACACGTGATTCGCGCAACGGTGCGGTCGTGATGCGGCGCTCTCTCGCGGTGGCGGGTTATCGCTGCAGCGGGTAATCGCGCATTCAACCATAAAAACGTCTAGCCCTATAGACAAGCTCGAGTATGTTGCGGGTGTATGCACTGAATAAACAATTAAATAATTGACCGAAGCCACCTGTGCCCCGCGCGCTATCGTTTTTACAGTAACTGACGAGAATATGACCGTTGGTGAAATCCCCGATATTTCCCCGAAGTAATAAATATCAATGTATGCCCTTACTATTGTTGTCATGCTTTGTAAGACGTGGATATTACTTCGTAACGGTACCACCGCATATGTTCCTTTCAATTACATCTTTAGATCATACTCTTATACTATATGCGATCACGTGACCAGTTGTCGAAGAAAGCTCACAAATTTCTTTCTCCCTGTGATTGTAGGACTGCCAGATTTTACCTTCTACCCAAGATTCACAAGGCTGGCAACCCCGGTAGACCCATCATCTCCGGTAATGGCTCACCCACGGAACACATCTCCCTGTTCATTGACAGTTTTCTCAAACCCCTTGTCCCACAGATTTCGTCATACATTCACGACACCCCAGACTTCTTACGCAAGCTTGAAGGAATCAAGGACCAGATTCCCAGCACAGCCATCATTGGGACTTTCGACATCTCATCTCTGTACACCAACATCCCACATGAGGAGGGTGTTCGTGCTTGCTCCTTGGCTCTGGCCAAGGCAGGACAGACGACTCCTCCCATCAGTGATGTAGGCACCCTCATGAGACTTATACTAACGAAGAACAATTTTTCCTTCCTTGGTGAACACTATCTACAGGTACACGGCACTGCAATGGGCACTCGCATTGCCCCGTCGACGGCTTGCCTCTTCATGGGTGACCTCGAAGAACGCATTCTTGCCTCGGCCCCATGTCGCCCTTGGATCTGGTGGAGATATATTGATGATGTTTTCTTCATCTGGACCAGGGATGAGGACAGTCTCTTGACCTTCACTAACCACATCAATTCCTTCCACAGAACCATCAAATTCACATCGGAGTTCTCGGCTCACCAAACCCACTTTCTGGATGTCACCGTCCGCAAGCAAGGCAACTCACTAACCACTGACCTGTATTCCAAACCCACAGACACCCACCAGTACCTCCACTCCTCCAGCTGTCACCCCAGGCACTGCAAAACTGGCATAGCGTTTAGCCGGGCACTCAGACTCAGAAAAAATTGTTCTAATGATTCCGATTTCTCCCGCCATACACAGATACTGAGGAACAACTTGGTGGCCAGGGGTCACAGCTCTCGCCAAGTTCATCGTGCCATTGCCAGAGCTAAAATTATCCCCAGAAATCTAGCTCTCACGGGAAAGGCCCCTGATGCCATGGCCAAACCCATGATTCCCTTGGTTACCACGTTTCACCCCAATCTCCCTTCCCTCCGCAAAATCACTAATGACAATCATCATATCCTCCATACTTCAGATCGCCTTGCCCGCGCCATCCCCAACGGCCCCACATTGGCTTACAGGCGTCCTCGAAATCTACGGGACTTGATTGTTCGAGCTGAAGTCCCATCCTTAGATGCATCCCCTCCCACCCAGCATGGTACTTTCAAGTGCAGTTCCAGATGTGTTGTCTGCCAGATTCATATCCAGGAGTCTGACTCCTTTTCTGGCCACTCTTCTGTCACTACCCACAGAACCATTGGTAACATCACTTGTAACACCTCTAATGTCATATATCTTATTTCTTGCAGGGTCTGTGGAGTGCAGTACATGTATGTAGGTGAGACTAAGAATACGCTCAAGAAGCGTTTCTATGCCCACCGGTCAACGGTCAACACCAAGAAACTAGACACCCCTATTGGTCATCACTTCAACCTGCCTAACCACTCCATTTCTGATATGATTTTGCAGGGCATTGAATCTCTTGGCCATCGCAAGGACTCAGTTCGCCTCAGCAGAGAGAAGGTGTGGATGAATCGTCTTCGAACTATTCAACCACATGGTCTCAACATCCAACTTGGAAATGATTTATCCTTTTCTCCCTCCATTGTCCTCTGTTTCAGATAATCCATCTGGTCTTCCTTGTTTGTGTTTACCCATCTTCCCCCATCTTTCATCCCTTTCCACCTCAATACTGTCCCCCCCCCCCCCCCCGCATCATCCCTTCACTCTCACACTCTTTTGTCCGTTACCACTCCCTGTGACCTTTGATCCTTCTCCTTTTTGGTCCCTCCCCTGTTTACACCAGACCCCTTGTGGTTTGCCATCTCCCTTTGTTTCTTTGTTCTCCCCTCCACCCTCCCCTGCATCTTCCCACACCTTTCCCACCTAATCCTGATCCTTTTGTGTTTCTTCTTTCAGCCCTGCGTGTTTGTGTGCAACCCCATGTTAATGTATGTACCTCTGTCATTTCTGTTTTAGCCTCTGAAGAAGAACTTGCTAAGTTCGCAACGTCAGGCCACATTAATTTTAAGATTTACTCTTATACTAATTAAATACGTGGATCTCGACGGAAATCTCTCGTAACTATGATTAAAAACACAAAAAAAATCTGAATAGGGCTTGAAGGATGTAAAGTATTATGATAAAAGCCTTCTTAACGTGATCACAGAACACTGTTTTGCTTTGTTGTAATTGACGGAGAGTATACCGTCAAGAAATTAATTAGTCTCATGAATTGAACATATCTCTTCTAGTGAAACAGCGCTCATTATATAGCCTGAACATGAATTATAAAAGATATGTGAAATAAATCAGAAACCCTTGATTCATGATAAAAATCACTACAAGGTAGACCCAGGTTAAGTGACCTGAAACAGCTGTCCATCATAACTGGTTGTTTAACTATAGGGCTTGACAGGGACTTCGTACTTTTTAGAATGCATGATTCACATTGCGAAGGAGGACAGTTCAACAATGATTTTAACAAGATGCAAGGTCAAATGTTCACAATGTGAAGGTACATGGTTCATATTGCGAAGAAGCAAGGTGCAACGTTGACATCAAGCATGATCAATGGTATACATTGACAAGATCGAACGTGAACATTAACAAGTTGGAACATTCACATTAATTAAGAAGGAACAACTTCCACAATGCGATATTAAGCTACGTGCAACGTGCATATTGCGAAGATACAACGTCAATATTAAGAAGTTAAAAGGTTCATATTAAAAAGGTCAATATTAAAATGTCGGTCCAGGGCCACAGTAAAGTTGTGCTTAAAACATTTCTCTTGAACTTTCATCCCGAAAATGATTCAGTTGATGAAGGAATTTGGCATTAATATACAATATACGCTAATATCGGCCTATAATAAAGCCTTGAATGCACAATGTTCATTTTCAGAAACCTTGCCGAGAATGCCTTGAAGGAGATACCTAAGCATGGTTTCTTGGACCTTCCGCACCTTATTGTGCTGTAAGTACATTGCAAGGGTTATTGTTCTAATGGGCGACATGGCACGAAGCAAACAACGCCCTTGGCCTTCTGTACAAAATAATATTATTATTTAGCACTTCAATTGCCTAGTAGAAACATGTTATCAACACCGTTTCGTTTGTTTTGAAGTGACCTGTTCTCAGCTTAGTTTTACACAGCAGTAAGTACATACGCTTACTGACATGGAAAGAATCATTACAGCTTGCAAGCCACATGAAAATGGATCCAGATATATTGGACATTTTACATCCTTTGTTTTTACTGAGTTACACATGTATACCCGATCTCTTTAAAATATAATTAGTCCTGATTGCAAAGTTTCAATGTGTACGTATTTTTTTACGAAACAAATTCCACTATATTCCAACCTCGTCTAGAAGAGTAACTTTATTTTGACCTTGTTTCCCGGAAAAAAAAATATATTTTCGATTTTTTTCCCCCTGTATATTGATTCAACACAGCAACGGCAAGTAATGTTTGCTGTGAATTATCACGTTCACGCCACCTCATCAAGAGCCCCCATTTCCATGTTGCTTATTTTTATGTTGTGCTGCCGTTTTTACCGCGGGCACGACCCTAAAAAGATAAATTTGCGATGGCGCCATTTTCCGGCATAAATATGAACATCTCTGCCAAGTTTCACGTTTTTATGCAAAGGTGCACAATTCATCGATATTTTGTCACATATCCGCTGGACTTATAATAGTTGGATAAGATTGCTACTTTTTAATTTAAAATGCACTGTAAGCACAAGAAGGCACCAGATTATTACTTATTTGCATATGTGTGCATATCCTTGGTCAAGGCGTTTGTACCTATGGTATTCGGCGGCATATCTTTGCCGCACACTTCAAACAGAACAACGAAGACTAAAATATTCTCCAGAAACCATGAGAAAACGTCGCGCGACACTATTCTACCGACTGCCGTTGACCAAACAAATTGGCCAACAATGCTGGGACCAGCAGATGAACGCTGGGCACGTACGTCCACATCGCATTGTTCAAACACGAGTTGGAAATTTAACATGTTGACGATCGTGATGGAAGTTCTCGGAATTGAACGGGAAATTTCACTTTTCATCCGACTCGTAAGCAAACTTTACTACCTCGATTTCAATCATCGATCTCTCATTTTACCTCAGGAGGCGTATCTAGTAATTTTGAGGCCGTTTTTAGGTAAATCTTGTGTTTTTGTTGGCCAATGTTGGTTTTCTGGGGGTCAACGGCAGTCAGCAGAATAGTGTCGCACGACGTTTTCTCATGGTTTCTGGAAAATCGCCACCAAAATCATCGAAAAATTTCCTATGTTTGTCTTCGTTGTTCTTTTTGAAGTCGATTACTAGCTTCATGAACGTCTGCTGCATCATATGAGGTATGAATTATGGAATCTGGGTCGGAATAATATAGGGAAAATAACCGTTTTTGTAATGCACTGGGGATGTACAGTCCGAGATTTCGGGATTCTTACGACCCGGTGATTGTAACGTAGTTTTGACTCGAGCTCTAATGCGATAGGCAATAGAGCTGGAGTTACTCAAGCTAAGTAACTATAGGCAATATTGAGTGAAAATGTACATTTTTCTAAGAATCCCTTTTTTTTTCTACCAGTTTTTGATCGTAGAAGGTACAATTTTGAATGTTTGTCAAGTGCCCAACACCACACACACCTATATCACACATCATTTCATATGTCTACTCTTAGATTAGGCATAATGTGGAACTGTCACATGGGGGAAAATTTGTCTTTTGGCTCATTTTGGTCTAAAAGTCACAATTTTGGGTCAAAAATATGATTTTACACATGTTGTATTCTATATACCTGTGGGACCAGCCTGAACCATCGAGGAAAGTTTTACACCAAATTGACGTTCCATAAATTCACAAATACCATATGAAGATTATAAAATGCAAAGTAACTAAAGGCAATATTGAGTAAAAATGTGAATTTTTCTCAAAATCGTGTTTGTTTTTAGGGGGAACATTAAGGTAACATTTTGTTATTTGTCCGTTGCCAAACATCACACACCTACATCATATAAGGAACACAATTGGTTAAATTTGGTATTTCAGCAAATTATGCCTTTTTATCAGCAAGCAAATGAAAAAAAAAACGATTATAGATCATTTTCACAATAACTTGACTACGACTTAGTGTATTTCTCGCCAATTTAATTTAATAATTGTAGACATCTATGGAGCAAGTCCCATCCATGGAAGCAAGTTTTACAGCTAAATGTATATCATCTTTCATAAATTCACTACAGAGATCTTAGTATTACAAAATGTACAGTAACTATAGACACTATTGAGTCAAAATGGTTTTCTCAGAATCGTATTTCTAAAAAGCAAAATAAATGTTGAACTGCACAAATGTTATATTTAGTTTTACAGCATTACATGTTATATTTAGGCATAAGATGGAACTGATGAGTGAATTTTTTTTTATAAGAATATGATTTGTTGCTACAATCCTGGCCAAATCTCGCTGGCCCCCCGGTTCAATGTTGGCTCTCATGCGCGGTGCGCAGTGTGTGCTCCATCAGCTGGAAACACAACATTGACCGGGGGAGTGGGTGACCGTGGCAGGCTCAGGAAGTGTCCCAACCATTTTGGCCGGGATTGTAGCATGAACTCTTGTCAGTGCTGGAGGTTTCTCTGATATACATCTGAAAAAGTCCCTAATTTGTAGCAGCATTAAAGATGTAGCCGGTCTGTTTAGTTCACAAGTTAGTAGAGTAGATACCTGAATGTGTCTGCATGTTTCATCCTCGAATGCAGCTTGGTACTGCGGCGCTGCGAGCGTGGCTGCCCTTAAATCAGGTTGCTCTGGCCTCTTGACTTAAACCTTTGGTGAGCGAAGAGAGCAGTGATCTCGGTGACCGAGGGAATGTGTCCGTTCGGAAGGCCGTATGCCGACATCATGTACAAAGTGGTCTCCTTAAGGATGTACAATTAAGGGAAGGACATGAACTGACCGACTGAACAAACGCTGAAACCTTTATTTATCAGACAACAACGAAAATCAAGTTCTTTTAATACTCCATTGCGTTGAATTAGAATGAAGGGGTCAATCAACAATAATTACAGAATGAAAAGGCACCTGCGTCAGGGGTGAACTGTTCGCATCGCCCCCCCACGCTCTTTTGCAACTTACTATCGGGGACCCCAAAGTTACCGGCGGCAGGACTCCCGAGGCCCCAGTGGATACAGCCCACGAGGTAGCAAGACGTACACGGACCAAGCTTCAGATCCCCGGTGTGTCTCCGGCTACTGACCCCCTGTCCTTGCCCAGTCGTTGGCACGTCGGTGCAGCAACACGACAACGCACAAACGTCTGTTCTCCACGAGACGCCGCAACCCACGTCCGTTCTCAACGATGCGCTGTGATCAACTCCTAATTTGGAACGCGCGCACGGTTCTAACTACAGAGGGCGCTGCGCAAGCTTGCTGGCTCTTGCACTATAAATTACTCGCTGCAAGCACACCATTACGCTACAGTACCAAGGAGTGAAAGGATGTGTGATCATCATGTCCCTGGACACACGGTTTTCGCAGTCAGCTACTTTTCCAGATATGATGTTTGGTTTGGCAAGAAGGTTTAGTATATTCTGAAAGCTAGAGGAGCTACAATGTAAGCGCTTTGCAAATCACTCCAAACCGGCAGAAAACAGGAAAAGGTGCTAATAAATGCAGTAATACAGTAGCTAGTGGTAAAGTCGTATGAACACAGCGTGAAAGGTAATGAAGATAACGTGGAATGTATCTAAGGTCAAAGGTCATAGATCAACGGTCAAATCAAGTCAATTATGATGCAATTCGTAAAAGTTTTGATTCAGTTTTTATCTCTGAGGGTGGCATTGGAACGGGGTTTGGCGAGTACCATCCCGTTCGTTGGTGACATAGGGATGGTAACCCCAAGCCGGTAAAAGCGAATTGTTAAGTTTTGCGACTCGACCTGTTGAGGCGACAAACAACAGTTCAGCTCGAGTTGACATCTCATCAGTGGGTCCATGGCCACTGAAAAGAGAGGCATGGGTCCATAGTGATGTGGGTCAGATGGGTAGTTTGGAGCGACCAAATCACAGGCCAAACATAACCCCTGATCGGTACAGCGGAAAGGTGCTCTGGAAGAGTGCCTCCGCCATTTTGAGTCGTGTCGTGAGGTCAAAATGTGGAGCGAGGAGCAGGCTGCGAGTTGGTTAGCCGCAAGCTTGCAGGGAGACGCTCTACAGTTGTTGGGTGACTCTGGCCATAAGTACACGTATAGTGCGCTTGTAAAATTGTTGGAGCGCAGGTTTGGGTCAGCTCGACAGAGCGAAAATTATCTCGTCGAACTGAGACATCGGCGCCAAAAGCCAAAGGAGACTCTGTTTGAATTAGGGCAAGCGATTTACGAATTGACAGCGAGAGCATACCCTGAGTTGCAGGAAGATGCTCATAAAAGGTTGGCTAAGAACCACTTCACAGATGCTGTTGACAGTTATTCAGTTAGGGAGGGCATCAACAGGGCTCGTCCAAAAACTTGGGATGAAGCAGTCCAGGCCTCCATGGAGACTGAGATATTGAGAAGGTGGAACAGCACAGATTAATTGCTGGACCGGAAGCATTGCGGTGTTTCAGATGTAATGACAAAGGGCACTTCGCCCGGGAGTGCAAGAAAACTCCAAAGCAGGGAAACGTCAGTCAGCCCCCGTAGAACCCGCGGGAGGGCTGAGAGGTCAAAAGGGTTCAGAAGACAACACAGTGACAGCGAGGCTGGTGGTGGACAGAAAAGGTCAAAGCTTGGGGACGGGCAACGAGTCATAACTGTGCCCTATCTCAGTCGTGGAGCTCGGTATGGTTTGTTTGTTGACAAGTGTTGATTTTTGATCGACGTGGGGGCCACCAATACTTTAATAATTGGTACGGTGTACTACCAAATTCCGAAAAAAAAAGAGGCCCGTTTTACAGACGGATAATGTTCAGGTGAAGCAAGTTGACGGTAGTCAGCTCGCCGCGTTGGGTATAGCTTGGGTAGAGGTACAAGTGGGTCGAACCACGCACCAAGTCAGGGCAGTGTTTGTGAAATGAAATACTGTGGTATCCTGGGCATGGATTTCCTGGTACCCTCAGGTGGAAATCTAGATTTCCAGTTGAAAGAGTGGGGGCTCAGTTGTGAGTGAATCAAATGCACCAATCGTGCTGGCGAGCCTTTTGTTGGTCGTGTTGTAGTTTCTCAAATTACGGTGATTCAGTCAGGTCATGAGGCCGTGGTCCCAGGTATAGTTGCTCGGAAGGGTGCCGACTTGGTCGGGCCTGCCATCGTCGATGGAAGGTGGCGGTGACCTAGCCAAGAAAGGCTTGGTGTTAGCCATATCTCTGGTACCATGAGGACGTCCGGAAATGTCTTGTAGACTTTCAGGATGTGTTGTCCAAGGGTGACCATGACATTGGTCGCACGGACGTGGTGCGGCATCACGTAAATACTGGTGATGCTAAGCCGGTGAAAGAACTGATGAGGCGTCATTCGTATTGTCAGGAGGAAATTCAGAGGCAAGTCAGTGATTTGGGAAAGGGGGGGGGGTGATTGAACCTTCCGACAGTCCATGGGCGGCAAATGTTGTTTTGGTTGACAAAACAGATGGTACGAAACGCTTCTGTATTGATTACAGAAAGTTGAATTCGGTGATCATCAAGGGTGCCTATCCTGTGCCGCGCATTGATGAAACATTTGATGCGTTGGGTGGGGCGAAGTGGTTTTGTACACTTGATTTAGCGTCGGAATACTGGCAAGTCGCTCTGGATGAGGACGCCAGCCAAAAGTCATCATTGGTGGTGAAAAGCGGGTTGTACCGGTGGAAATGCATGCCTTTTAGAGGGGCTAATGGAAAAAAGGTCATGACCGGCTTGCAGTGGGAAATCCTACTGATTTATTTGGATTACATCATCGTGTTTGGCCAGTCAATGAGGGAGACCCTAGAGCGTCTCCGAGTTGTGTTTGACAGGCAAAGAAACGCTGGGCTTAAACTCAAGCCCAATAGGTGTCATTTGTTTCATATGTCAGTGGCTTACCAAGGGCACATTGTGTCCTCAGAAAGGGTAGCCAGCCACGGATCCTCAGAAGATCAAGGCAGTGGCAAGTTGGCCTGTTCCGAAGTGTGTACAAGCTGTGCGAAGTTTTTTAGGCCTCGCATCGTACTACTGGAAGTTCATAAAGGGGTTTGCAGAAGTGGCAAGTCCACTTCATGCATTAACCGAGAAGTCAAGAATGTTTGTGTGGACTGAGAGTTGTCAAGAGGCATTTGACGAGCTGAAGGGCAGGCTTCAAGCCGCCCCAGTTTTGTCATATCCGATGCCCGAGGATGACTTCATCTTGGACACCGATGCCAGTGGTGAAGGTATCGGGGCGGCGTTGTCGCAGGTCCAGGGTGGTGACGAAAAGTGCTTGCGTATGCGAACTGGAAGCTCAGCAAACCTGAGCGAAATTACTGTGTCACTCGTATAGAGTTGTTGGCTGTGGTTGTGTACTTGTAAGGCCGCAGGGTAACGGTCAGAATTTACCATGCCGCATTGCGGTGGGTACTTAATTTTAAGAACCCCGAGGGTCAGCTGGCAAGGTGGATTGAGGTCCTGTCTCAATATGACTTGGTCATTGAGCACAGGAGTGGCAAGAAATATGGTAATTCTGATTGGTTGTCGAGACGGCAATGCAAACAGTGCGGTTGTGAGGAGGTGGTCAAGGAGGATGAGGCAACTGGTGTAGTACCCGAGGTTCGGCATCAGGGGAGTGAGTTTTGGTTAGGGGCGTAGTCACAGGATGACACCATGAGTTGGCTCATGAAGTTGAAGGAGGACGGTAATTGGTCGTCCTGAGTAAATGCTGCCACTTCAGAAGTTCGGGAAAAATACTCACAACACTCCAAGGTGTTCGATATACACATCAAATTAAAGCTTGTTTCATCATCTTTTATTTTCTTTTCAATTTTCGGGGGGGGGGGTCAACTGATGACTTTCAGGAGAAATTTCCATCTATAGATGATCACCCCTGAAAATAGTCCTGAAGCACATCGCCATTTTGAAAAACGATGCCTACACTCCATTGCAAAATAGAGCGCTTTTGGGGTCCAAATTACATCCAAATTACACAGAACTGCAAGCTCCCAGTCCTGTGCACGGCTTCCACCCATATTTTTTACAATGCCTCAGGTTCATGGCCCACAGCATGCTCAAATACTGAAGATTTTGAGGGCATGCAAATCGTGATTTGGCCGGCGTAGGCAATTTCGGACCGATTTACTGGTCTGCACCCATAAATGCGTGCCTGGAGATTACATTTTGGCTTTGGAAGGCTTTGATTGTTAGGTGAGATACTGCTTGTGTGCCTAGTTTCGGGGCTCAGCTGTTTCAGGTGTTGAGTTCTCCGGGTGTCTGGAGAAGCGGGCTAGAGCGTAGCTGCGACAGCGGGCAGAAAAGTCGGTGAATTACTTGTACTCCACATGTGTAGTTGCTTAGGCGATTCGTGTACAAAGTCTGTGTAGCTGTACAGGGGTTGCGCTGGTACATGTAGCTGAATTCTGGCTTACACACACGGCGTAACGGGTACCCTGCTAACGGACCGTATACATTGCTAAGCGGCTGTTGTACGCTTGTGACCCTGTGTTATTGCTAACTTAGCGATTCATAACTAGCGCTGTGTATATATGAAGTCACATGGACCACATTGGGGTCAACACACCTTGGGTCAGACAAATGAACAAACCACTACTTAGTCTATAAATAATACTGAACTAGAAAATCTTTAATTTGAAAACTCGGTCAGAACTCTATATCAAAATCTATAACACCAGCGCTGATGATGATAATCAAAAAAAAAAACTTTAAGAAGGCCTACATGTAAATGTTTAGGTCAACAATGTCACTCTAAGGCAATCAAGTCCCAATCCAAAAATGTTGATCGACTAGTCAGTTCAGTTCAGTTCAGTTCACATCACTTCGTGGAGTTCCGGCGAAACTACAGAAGTTCAACGTCACTGTATACGCTGCACAGTAAACTAAACGGTTCCTTCACAAGATCCCTCCTGCTTGGAGATAGAAGTTCACCTAATGCAGACAGCATACATGTAATTCATGTCCTTGTGAAGATGTAACATGTGTAAGCTCACACGTGGCCAGTCCAGTCACCAACGGCTTGCTCCACTCAAGATGTGGAGCAGAGTTCCAGACTGTGACTGTCCAGGCAGAAAAATACAGATCAAGTTATTTCCCAAACTATCAGGGTACACCTGAGAGTAAAAGAAAAGCAAAATATGTACCTTAACAAAAGGCGTGTGTCTCTACACAAAGCAATTTAGGGGGTCAATCCAGATTGTAGATCAAATAATCCACCCAACTTCTAGCATCAGTACACTTTAAACTTGTTCAATTTCTAACATTACTCAACATGTAACTTAATTTGAATCATCCCAGTATGTGAGGTTTCATTACGGAAAGGTATATTGGTAACAAGATCAATTATTTCTTCTAGATGCATTAAAATTGGCTCCCGATTTATACAATTCACATTTGTTTCTGTAACGTTAATTTCAACATCAATTATCAACACAACAAATGTTATAATCATCCCAATATCCTTCACTTATTCTCACCTGAGAGCCACAAGCTGTAGGATTGTCAATCAATGTCAAACTAACAGTTGACTTATAGCAAGAATCTTGGCATTTCACTGCGGGAATTTCGCCAAAACATGTGCGAACATGTCGTCTGCCATGGTTACAGTACACGCGTGTCTCATAACTGCTTGAGGGCGCACTTCAGCGTGCCACACGGGCTACATATTATAGTTGCTCATTTTGCTGCCATTGATGTCTAGTGCTTAATGCTGTGTGTGTTGTTGCATAGGCGAGCAGCGGGCTACCTCCAGTAACGAAGGACCCTGGTATTAAAACAACCCACCGAACCACATCCTAATTAATGTACCTGATTATTGTGAATAAATTACGTTCATTGTTGTTTGAGATTACCGACAAACTGCTTCCGGTGTTTATGTTTACAGGTTTATTGTGCAATTAAGTAATACAGATAAATAATCAACACTCATTCATAATCGGGCGGTAGATTTCCACCTTAACGGACCTGCACCCTTAGCCTTGAAGGTCGCTCTGAGTGATCTCTCATCTAGGGAAGAGTGGGTTTGGGAAGACTGTCTTCACCGCGCTAGGAGTCAGACGTATCGTAACAAACTTAGGTTGGCGGGGGGGGGGGGGGGTTCCCGCCACACTATCTATTAACCATATTCACTTTTTCATTTAGCTCGGAAAACAGGCACAAGTATAGTAAATAACAAAGACAATTACCTTCATGTTGTTTTAAGAAATACGATTGTTAGAAAATTGCATATTTGCACTTAATACTGTTTTTAGTAACTGTACATTTTGTAATCTGAATATGGTATTAGAAAATGTATAGAACGGCAATTTGGTTTAAAACGTGCCTCGATGGTTCGTGCTGGTCCCACATATATTAGTCCCCTATTCAATACCAAATTTGTTAACTCATACTTTTGTAACCAACAATGTAAGTTTTAGAACAAAATAGCTACAAAGCCACATTTCTTCCAATTTTGAAGCTTCAAATCAAACCTAATCTTAAAGTAGACATATTAAGCCTGCTCATGATGTATGATGTAGGTATGTGTAGGGTGGGGCATTTTAGTCAACCCAAATTTTGATTCCGCCGCTCGCCTATTAACACCTGACTGTATCTTCTCTGTTTTTACAAAGCGATTTGACTGGCAACAGCATTGACAAGCCTTTCGAAATTCCAGAGTCTGTGATGATGTTGTAAGTATTAAATAAATTACAACATTCAACTGCCTCTTGTCTTGGTAAATCACAAATATTTGTGTCTATCGAAATAGTTGCATCATCTGGTTATTTGCTAGGATAGCCAATTTCAAAATTGCGTTCTCTTCTGTGATGACAATTGAACAATTGGACTATTTTCATGTCTGGCTTGCTCGTAGACACGCTCGTGGAAATCAACTGCAAGACATCGACTTGGTCATGAAAAATGGAGTCCAGCTAAAAACAGTGTGAGTCAATATTAATTGCTAGCTTTTCGTTGATTGTTATATTCAAATAACAGAAATTTCACTCATATTATAGTCTATGTGAGTGAATCAGTCATGCTTTTCGACTTTTAAAACATCCACATGCTTTAAGAGAATCAGTTTTCAAAGTGATCCCGTGAGGCACCTGCCGCGTTAAACTGGGAAATTATAAACTACTTTGACTCTACGGATTAAATCACCGTAACTGTGATTTTTGGCCTCCATAAATTATTGTCAATAGTTTAAAAATATTTGGACTTGAATTTCCTTGTTTTGTAATGTTGTAAAAACGTACATGTGCACACGCAGGATTGTTTTGCATTAGTTTAAGCTGTTCGGCCATAGCATACATGGTGCTGACGCAGGGGATTTTGTCTTCGCTGTATCGCCAATATGATTACCGCAAAGGAATTAACGTATATTTCAACATCGGTTTCTGTTCCAGGGATTTCGAAGACAACAGAATGACGGCTATTGGTAGAGACACCTTTGCAAGATGTACAAAGTTGACAAATGTGTAAGTTCGCAAATTTAAGATCGTAATTTAAGGTCTATAATACGAACCTCGTCCCGTTTTGCTTTGTTTTAAACCTCGACGCTAATAGTAACCCATGTGTGGGACATTTACATCCTGTAGGCCTATCCCAATTAGACATGGCATGGTATTCTTATCGTGTACTTCGTGATTTGTTTCCAACGTGTTTTTATGACCTGCTCACATTAAGGAGCACCCTAATAAAACAAACAGAATATCTCAAAAGGATAGCTAAAGTTCTTGGTTCAACAGACCATTCCACAATGAAAACGAGAAATAAGAACGAAAACAATGGTTATTGGGCTATGCCTCACTCAAAAGTGAAGAGAGACATGCCTATTAGCATCACAATGCAGTCACATTTCACCCAAACTGATTGTTAACTTTAGTGTACTTAACATTTAGTCTGCATTTGAAGGACTGCTTGCCCTTGTAATGTATGTCTGAAAGAACTGATGACGGTAGACTGTTCCATAATCTTCACTGCTGCAGGAAGTTAAGTAGCATAGGTTGCCTGGTTTGTCGAGCAGCAGGTAGCCTGAAAGGTGGTACCGTGGATTTCAGCAAGGTTGGGCACTTGCTGCACTGTATTCTATATTTATAAACAGAAGACTGCTGCAACATTTCATCGATGGGGTAAACTGCTAAGATTATGCCTCGATTGCTCTTGATTGCTTAACCATATTAGGCGGCAGGCTCTCCTTTGGATTTTTTAAGAGTCGAAAGATGGACAGTGCTAGGCTCCCATCCAAGCAGTGCGAGTGATATTCTTCAGATGTGTCTTCCATTCCAGTTTGCGAGAGAATGTAACTCAAAAGGTTTCATCTCCGGCCCATTACCGACAACCTGGCCTTGGAACATTATAGGCGGATGATTTTGCATGTCCTTCATGCTGAACACAAAGATTCTGTGCCTCCCAAACTCAGCTCTAACAGGTTTAACCAACTGTCGTTTAATTCTGACACCAAGCGTGCTTTAAGACGCAATATTAGGGCCTACAGGAAAACTCGTTGCACCAACAGAGACAAGGACTCTGCCCGCTTGCGACGGCTAAAGAGAGACGCCCATAAGATTTGTCGTAACGCGCACAACAAATACATCTACGACATTGTGCACAGTGAACCAGTAAGCGCAAGGAACAAGAAGCTGGGTGCTCTTATAAAGTCCATGAACGAGGGTGGATTCCTTAAAGCGGATTCATAGACAAACGCTGACATCTTAAACCGGCAATTCTCATCCGTTTTGTCCAAATTTGATGGCTCCACACTTCCTGATTTAGGTTCCAGGAACTCTCCCGCCATGGAGTCCATCGCTGTGAGCCAGAGTGGTGTTACCAAACAACTTCGGAACGACAAGCCATTACTGCATCTAGCCCTGATGGCATTCAAACTAAACTTCTGAAGGAACTAGTTAAAGAAATCGCTCCTGCAGTCACACTCATATTTCAAGCCTCTATCAATCAAGGGTACTTTCGCAATGGAAGAAAGCTCACATCGTCCCTATCTTTAAGAAGGGTAGCAGGTCAGACGCAGCAAACTACCGCCCAAACTCTCTCACATCGGTTTCATGCAAGCTCTGCGAGCACATTGTTTTCTGTGGCAGTGATCCGTCATCTCAATGACTGCAATATCTTCTCAAACACACATCACTAGTTTCGCTAAAGTACAGCACGTGACACCGATTGGATGACAAATCACAAATTGATGTGATCCTACTTGACTACTTCATAAAGTCTCGCACCGCCACTTCCTGATGAAAGTTGAGCACTATAGAAAACGAGACATCACCTTAGATTGGACCCAGGATTTTATCCATATACAATCCCAATTTGTCCGAGGTGACGGTCAGAAGAGCACCGAATCCCGGGTAAGGGTAATGTCCTAGGCCCCTTGTTGGTGCTAATTTTCACTAATGACCTACCTGCTTGCGTCCCAACTTCCACAACAAAGCTGTCTGCTGAAGACGCAGCCAGCCTTTAAAAAGATCATGATGCTCTCTAAGATAGGGAATCTAAGTGGCCGATGAGGTTTAACGTTAAGAAATTCCAGGTCCTTCGAATCACTAACAAACGTAAAGCCATCCTTGCATCATACACCATTCATGGACGCACTTAAGAAGTAACCTATTTTGCGAAGTACCTTGGAGTTGATCTCGACTCTCATCTCACCTCAACACCCATGTGGACACTATCAGTAGGAAATCCAACTCCACAACGTTTTTTTTTATCTCGCAACCTCAGACATTGAAGTTGAAATGTGAAGGAAGCTGTCTACATGAAGCACCACCTGAGTCAGACATACAGTGGAATATACTTGCTCTACATGGGACACCCACACACAGCGAAACACGCTATGCTAAAGGATCTGAACCGGCCATCTGTACAGGACTGACGTAGTACTCACAGTTGCTTGGTCATGATGTACGAAATCAACTACAATTTAGTCGACAATGTTGACAACCAGTCTCACCCAACATACTATACCAGCCAGAGACCACGAATCCCGATTCGTCATCCCACACACCAAGTACTGCCTCTTCCCACGCACAATCCGGGACAGTAACAGCCTTGTGGTAGATCCAGTGGAGTACAAATCCCTCGACGCCTTCAAGCTGGCACTAAGGGATCATCCACTAAAAAAAGTCAGCACAACCAGCTTTTTACTTGCAGATCTGTACATGTACATATTAGTTATACATATAATTGCTCAGACCCATGCGCAACATATCGTACATTTATCCTCGAAGACTCTGTGGAAGAATAAAAATACGGGTACCTTTCTGCAAGTAGGTGTTTGAGCACACTAGTATGAGTCATTAAAGGAAATACTCGAGTACAAATACGACCACGAGTACAATAATGTGCTATGGGGGAGGCAATCACATTAGCACTCGTACTGGTCTCTTTTTGGTGCCGGCATCTGAGGCGCAACGCGTCCGGGTAGCCAAGCGCTACTTGACTAAAGTATATGAGTCTACTGGCGCCTGGTCCGTATATTGTTGATATTAATTGTGGAGCAAGAACCAGACTACCTGCCAGAAGGAAATAGTTGTCAGGCAGCCAATAAGTCGAAATTGTAAAGGAATAATTCAATTACAAACTGTCGATGTTTCATCAAAAAAAACATGATAACTAGAAGATGACCAAAAAAGAAAAAATCGCAAGTAGAGCGCATATTTAAGACACAAACTTTCTTGCAGGAATTTAAGAGGGAATGACGTGACTAGTATTGAAGCGGATGCATTCAAGAGTTGCACCAAACTTCGATATTTGTGAGTATTAGCGAATATATATTTGTTAACAAGATATCGTTACAAAATCAGTACATAGATATTTTACCATTAATTGACCACTTTTGTGCAGCTTGGGACGTGCTTTGTTAATTCCTGGTTTAGATTAATGTCAAGGCCACCTTTGGAGACATTTAAAACAAAAGACAACATTCAGAACAGATACATTTAGCAATGTTGGTACTTAAGAGGAACTGACGGGGGCATTCGTATTGCGGTGTGAGAGGTGAAAATTCTTGGATCGCTGCAAGACGACAGACTACAAAAGCATTTTCCAAGAAAGTTGTCATTAATCAATGCGTGATTTTTGACAGAAAACTATCTATTTCTAGACAAAATGAATCTCCCAAAATTGATGTTGGTGGAGTTTCACAATTTGCTGCAGATCCTGTCCTGGGGATGGTTATAATGATAGGTGAAGCCGATGTGAATAGGCCGAATGTCTGGGCGAATGAGAGCCTTCTCCTACAACCCTCCCTTAATCACTCGAAACCACGGCCTATTGCATTCATGACTGGGTCCAAAAAGATTGATGATATAAAATTGCCAAATCTGCAAAAGAAAAATTATGGAATGTTTTGGTTTAATCAGATTACTGGATAAAAACAAGATATCAACCATATCAGCCAAGGAATTGACTGCCCCGAAGGACATGGACACATTGTAAGTTTCTTTTTATTCCTTAACTGTCACTTTGTGCAAGCAGTAATAAGTAAAAAAAACTGAAACAAATCATGATGATACAGGAATGAATTTTAATGATTGAGGGGGTTGGCTTTGCATTTACGGTAGTATTTGCATGACCTATGACCGTTGGAAATTGTGTAAATTTAAACTGAATTAACATTTTGTTTCGCGTTTCTTTAATCTACCAGGGGTCTTGCCGAAAATAAGTTGAAGGAGCTCGGCCCAGATACCTTCAAAGGACTGCAGATCCGAGAAGTGTAAGAAACACTATAGGCACGGTGGAATATGGGCTCAGTGCGTGGAAAGGGAGAGCAGCGCCTTAACTAAACACAGCAATCTGATATTTTTAAATCTGATCGTCTTATGATGATGTCAGTTATGTATACCTTTGGGAAATTCCGTGACCTACATTTTTGTACCCTGTTTACTGCACAATACTGTTAATCGTTCCAGATTGTCAACGGTTAATGAAAAACGGTGCAAAAACACATGCCCGTACTTCATTGGCCCTTATAAGGTCTTCAGTGTCGAAACACAGAGCGGATGATTCAATTTCACGCGCTCCCATGTTTACAACCACTATGTGATCGATATTTCATGCAGTTCGTTTCGGGCAGTCACGCAAGAATTTGCACTCGACTCGCGCTCTCTTTAAATTTGCAACGTTTGCAACTGCATTATTGTCAATATAAGACATTCTTACTAGGAATGTTGTGGACTTTTGAAGCAACCGCCGCTTAAGTCCTTATCCGTTGCATTACCTGTTCTCCTCCCCTTGTCTGATGACATCATGAATTTGAAACCCTGCCAAGTTCTTAGGAATCTGTGGACGTTTGAAGCAATTCACCGCTTGAGTCCTTATTCGTTACTTTACCTGGTGTTCTCCCCTAATATCTACATGCTTATGTACACTGATAAGCATTGCTAAATCTCAAGGTGTTACTCTTTTTACCTACAGGATATTTCATAACCTTTAAACTCTCTTCATCAATGAAAACCCCGCTCGAATTTTTTACCCGTTGTCTCAAACTTCACGTGTTAATTTACCGTTGCCGCGCGCGCGTTTACGCTGACCCAACGTAAGGGGAACCCTTCTTCCCCATGGCCCAATTGAATGATGTCGTCGTGTGTCATTAGTGACTTTACATCACAATACCTAGTGTCTGGTCCTGCCCTATAGGCTAAACGATCTTGGGTATTATTCACACGTTTTTGCATTACAGGTGGATGGACGACAACGATGTGCAAGTGTTAAAGGCACACACTTTCGGCGGAGTCATCTCCTCCATGTGAGTATACATGTAGGTCGTGGTGAGTACTCAATAATAAGAATGGTCTTCAAAGAATGATGCTCGTTTCTTTGTAATGCAGATGTCTACCAAAGGTGATTTGCTCAAACATTACAACTGGTAAATGCCATGTTACTGTAGAATGATATTTCGAGAATAAAGTACACATAATATATTATACTTTCAATTAAGAAGGCATAAGAGCTTTATTATTGTTTAGAACAAATACCAGAGATAACCCTGACGATTTGTATATTATACGCACACATTTTGCATTTAAAGTGTTTTGAATAAAGAGTATAATATACAAACATGCATACCCTTTCCATTAATTATAAACGACATTATCCATTTCCACGTTGAATATCATTCTCAGTAAAAGAAAAAATTTATACTGAAACTCTCATCTCAATTTTTAATATTTGACAGAGTTTTGGATAACAATAGAATTCTCGAGATTCCAGCTAGTTTATTTGTGGATCCCTCGAACAAACAACACAGGAAAGAAATCGAGAGATTGTGAGTATAATTGTACAAATACCATGGCCTTTAAGTTACGGTCATCTTAAAAACAAATTTTGCCAATAAAAAAGTTTTCTTAGCCTTCAGGGCAGGGTATCACAGCAGGTGAAAAGACGGCGGTAATAAACCTCTTTTATTAAACCAGTTTGCCGTATCCGATTTATGTTAAATTGTTTAAATACTGTAACTCTTTTGTTTCTTCAGTTATTGTCAAGAAAACAGGGTTAACCGAGTCGCCATTGGAGCTTTTCAAGGTGTTAATAGGTTCAACAAATTGTAAGTAAACTTCAACGTCAAATAAATAATAAAATGTGCTTCGACAGACTTTATATACGAAACGCATTGGGCATTTGGGATTCATTTTCTGTTCAATATCAGACAAATTCATAAATGCACTATTAGTTGCTTTTAAACTCTTCATTTTACACATCTGTCACACTGTATTAGGTTAATGCGGAACAATCGCCTAACGACTCTACCAGAGGGTTTGTTTGACACGAAGACTGAAATCGGGCAGTTGTAAGTGTACAACGTGTCCCAATAAACATTGTGCATGAAGAAGTCGCTGATTTGCTCAAAAGATGTTCATACTAGCTAATGAAATTTTATAGTATTTTCAAGTCTATGGATTTGTTTGTAATTGGTAAAAAAAATTCAAGAAAAGTCATATTATTTTCCACTCGCACAATTAGAAGTCTTCGGCTGAACTTAGGCTAATACATTAATATTAGGCATTCCAAGTGGTATTAGATTTGATTGCAAAATTCTATGTCACAAAATGCTACCTGTAAACACCCTTATCCAAATGCTTCATAAAGGCCAGGCAATATTCCAAGCACTCACAAGACATACCAATAACCCAATAATTGGCGGAAGTGCATAAATTACATTGTGCAGGTCGCAATTTACGTAGCCTTACCAAATCAAAGATACACTCTAAAAACAACTTAGTCAAAATATTGACTAGTTTTCCCAGTTATTGGAAATTGAATAGGAATTTAGTTAAACATGCAAAGTTCAATACTATGACTAGAAACGTAGTTGGGTTCGACTCCAATTTCAGTTATTTGCATAACTACTTTTCCAAAGTCAATAATACTGACTGGAAAAATCTAGTCAGATTGACTGATTTTCAGTCGCACCCAGCTGACCCTCAATGGCTAGTCAAATTTGACTGGTTTCTAGTCAAATCTGACTAATGCTTTTTTAGAGTGTACAGTTGGTTAACATTGTTGAATTTTCTTGATGTTTTTGAGCAATTATAAACAAACCATGGGCTTGAAAATGCTAAAACAATTGATAAGCTACTTTGAACAGTTTTTTTTGGAAATCAGCGATTTTTCTTCATGCACAATGTTGATTTGGACACGCTGTACTTCTTCGTATTCATGTTTGAATATGTTTTAATGTCGCTTCATCGATAGTACAAAACTATAGGCAAGATGTTATTTTTATTAATGAAGGTCCTTTCCAAAAAAGTTATTCATTACTCTAACGTGAAATAATAGTCTCCGTTGACTGCATGACCTGAATACATGTATGTTAAAACAAAATTCTTCAATCGAGATTCTTTATTATAACAGATTAGACACAAGTACATGTTTAATAACGCTTCTTTTAATAAAAGGATTCTCACCAAAAATATAATGAGGTTTTCATATGTATTCGTTTCTATACCATACAGGTTGATAGCCGATAACCACCTAGATTTTCTACCAGAGAATATTCTAGTCAACACAACATTAACCGAAGTTCTGTAAGAGTTTTGACACACTATATTTTATGGTCTCAATCGCCACACTTATACATAAGTCAATCTTTTAGTAACAACGTTGAGTGTTTTTTTTTCCGACACAATGCGCCAAAACAAAACCATTCCCTTGAAGCAAAAACTGGAGGTTGCTAACTGTTTTTCGGGTTAGTACATGTATGTAACAGTCTAATTACGCGACCCAATGTAATATTTGGTAGGAAAATGGTTGTATGCACAGCGTGCCTAGATTCCAGCAGTCCTCAGCTAATCCTTGGAGGTTTTTTTTTCCAAGAGGGACAACTATCAAGTTAGTCCATCGCAATTCTCAACCAAACCAACCCCGTATAAAGAAATGAGCTCTGAAGAAAACAAGTGCTCCTTCGCTCTGTATAACCTACAATGCTGACTCGCAAACACTTGAAGTGTGGTATAAATTATGCATGGTTTGACGTTCCTTTTTTCTCTCAATATGTTCATATTTTGAAGTGATATTGGCTTCAATCGTCTCACATCCATCCCCGATGGCTTATTTCGCAACCAGACCAAGCTACGGACACTTTTCATGCAACGCAATAACATCAGTGTCATTACCAGAGGAATGTTTAAGGATCTTCACTCTCTGGAAGTACTGTGAGTCATCAATTTTTATTGTTTTTTTTTTGCTTACCGCTTATTAAAAAAAAATCTAGGTTTAAATCAGTGTTTACTTATCCAGGTATTTGCTGTTCCCAAGTTGCAGTCACAAGGCCATGCATTTGCAATCATTTGTCAATCGTGCCGGAATAATATTTTTTGGGTACTTTTCTCTACCGGGATGTCGCGCTTCACACGGCACCCGCTAGCTGGCTAGAGTCATTAACTTCGACCTCAATTTGCATGTTGACCACCGGTTGCCGTGGTAAACCTTGGAATGTTTATATATATATATTTGGAATGTTTTGGAATGTTTTTATATATATATAGGCCTAATGTTGTATCTTTTAACTATTCAAAGTCTGATGAAAGAAGGAAATCTGCTAAAAAAGCAAAACAAAACAAATATATAATGTTAATCATGAACCTACCGTGATATTAGAGGACTGTGAATTCGTATCATACATGCGAAGATAGCCAACAACTTCACAAATAATTGAGTGTGCAAAGATGGTCAATAAGGCCGGTCCTGGCGCAGAATGACTGATTGCAGTATAGGCAGGTGTTGGTTGGGGGCTAACTAGGCGGAATGGAGGAACTTGATCTGTTCTTACAGAGCTGAAGTTTCTGTTCGGCTTCACAGATGCGACCTTTCTCATACTTGTTTACGCCGTGCATGACTTAGTAATAGGCCAGTTGGAGCGGTGCTGAGAAATAATCTCCCACGTCTCTAGATCTATGCTGCAACCTTTGACGGAGGCATTAAGGGTGCCTTAATTTGTAACATTTCCCGTGCCACCTTGAGTCTGCGCAGATTAAACAACTTGCTCTCAGAGCAGTATTGCAGATAGACCCCTATATCCCCGCAACAAAAGGTATCTATCAGCATATCCGAGAACATCATGTTAATGGGTAGGTCCCAGGACGCAGCCTTGCTTCACTCCGTTGGCCACTCAGATGGGTTCAGAGAATGCGCCGTTGTCTTGGACGCGAGCTTGCATGCCATTGTGGATTTCACAGACCATGTGAATGAACATGTCGGGGCAGCCAGAGTTGGACATAATCTTCCACAGGCCCTCTCGGCTTCAGTGGCGTAGGCAGGAATTTTTGAGGGGGGGGGGAGGCGCTGGAACATTTCATGGGGGCGTCATGTAGATCAATGATAATTGTTTTTAAAAACTCAAAATCTCAGTGTGTGTAGGGGGGGGGCGACTGGGGGGCGACAAACATCAGACAGACAGACAGACAAACATCAGACAAACAGACAGTCTAACATTTGACTGGCCGTTGCAAATCCCTTTGGCGAAAACCAAGTTTTGTTTCGCTAAACAATGGTATGCCCTCGTGTAGTGATAAAGCGTTTCAAAATGATTTCCAAGTCTTGATTTTGTTTTATAGATCCGTATTTGGCAATCCTCTCCTTGCGCTACAAGCCTGGCATTTCTATAACACGCAGCTCACAAATGTGTAAGTACATGCATATCATCTACAATCAATTGCTTATTAAGTGATGTTATGGAGGTTGTATATTTATTTCACATTAACATGTGCCAGGTGCACGATCCGTCATGTTTGCCGCCCATAGCGTGCTTGATCGGCTGTGCAGTACATGTACAATGCATGATGCGTAACGTGCATGTTATGCGGTATCCGTCACGGTCAATATCCGATTTGAAAAGGTCTGGGCAGTTTTTTCCTAAATTGTGTAAGTGGACGTAGTCACCAATGACGTTTTTGGCCCATTATTTACATGTCTGCAACCGTAAGGGTTTAATATAGCGGAAGCGTGGGTAGCTACTCAACTAATTCGTCACATTAAGTACTTCTTTAAACCAAAACAAGATCGATACACCAAGCTCCGACCTATGAATCTTTAACCAATCACAGCAACGTTTTATGTCCAGCATTGCGTGCACTTACATGACGCGCGTGTGTGGCGTGAATTTAGGTATCAATGATATACGGACTCATTGGAAGCATTACAAATACCTCGGCGAAGATAGCTAGGAGAACGACCAATAAAAGGGAAACAGAGTCCTAAGTCAGGTTTTCATTCACCACCGGCAGAAACTTGCAGTGTCGTATGCCATTTTAAATTGGCACTTGTGTGACGCAAGTACGTTGTGCGCGGGGCCTTTTTTGATCTAGCGGATATGTGAAGAAAATGGTGCACTTTTGCATGAAAGCATGAAACTTGGCACAGATGTTTATATTCATGAGAGAAAATGTTTCAGATGTGGAGCAACCGCGAAGTCACCATTTTAGGGGCGAGGGAGTCATTTATAAAAGGGGGACTTTTTATGCTCACCGTTAAAAACATCATGCCCACCTCTCAAAAATGCACATAGCTGCAAACAAACATATATATATATATTCATGACAAAAACAAATAGATGTAGAGGTCTCGGAACATAACCATTTTAGGGGCGTGGCATCCATTACAAAAAGGCGGGACTTCATTATGTCCTCAGTGAAAAAAGTGCCCATCTTTCATAAATGCATATAAGTTCACATAAACATATATATTCATGACCAAAACAATATTCAGATGTAAAGGCCTTGACAAATTACCCTTCTAGGGGAGTGACAGCTATTTAAAAAAGGTGCCCTTTGTGAAACACAAATTGAGGCTGACTTTTATAAAAAGAAAACCAGTTAAGATGTTAAACCCCAAAGGACATGACCCGTTGGGGGCGTGGCCGTTATTTCAAAAATAGGGTGTGGGTGGGAGCTGTTGTACGCACCATAGAAAAAATTGACAACCCTTCTAAATTGCATCAACTGCACACATATATACATTTAATTGTATCTGTGATATTTTTTTAGATGTGGAGACCTGGCAAACCTAGCCCTTTAGAGGCGTGGCAGCCATTTTATAACGGGGATCGAGTCACATTCAACGTACCCACATTTGTAATTTTCGTTTTTTCCGACCGGTTTTGTACAATGTTGGTTGGCCATTAATCTTCATATATGTTATCTCATTTAGTAACACTGCAACATCGGCATAGATCATTTTACTTCAATTTTCTCCTAATTTCTTCATAAGTGGAATTAAATAGTTTAATAAGCTGACATTGAACATACGTGTACTTTCACATGCACCTACTAGCTCACGAAGATAGCATACCTGCAGGGGACATCAACACCCTGTATTCCCGGTAAGATCAATGACTCATGAGGTTCAACTGGAGGAAATGCTTCTCTTTAAAAATTACTTATAAAAAGACTGATGCCATCTACAGGTACAACATGGGAGGGTCTCCACTACAGTCCACTGTACTGATAATCATTTCTACCTTGCAACATTTATCTACATATTAAACTCAACTGGAGTTAACATATCATCAGGACTGCAACCAAAGCAAATAAGACAGTCTGCTTCAAAGAAATTTCCATCACTACACGAAGGTGAATTCGACTGCTTATAAAACACCTGTGCGCCATCAATTGGAGTATTGCAGTGCAATCTCGGGCCCACATCATCAAACACATCATCACCACATGCACACAAAGCAGCACACTTCAGGGCTGCTTTGAAGCACTTGCACCTTCCTGTGCAACTTTTTTTGAAGGCACAGCAAAGCAGTTCACGGCAAGATGCGCTAGCCTCAGGAAGTGTTGTCCATAGTGGCCTCTAGTTTGACGCATCTGTCCACCCCATTCACCAGGAGATGGCATATCGGGATCTCTGATGAGAGATTTACCCCAACAAAATCCGCCTTGGTAGATGGCTCTTTTGATGTGTTTGATTATGGCCGCCTTTGTAGGTGGAAGTGACTGCATGGTACGCCCTTTCTTCGTAAACAGTTTCATTCGTGCCTCATCTATATTGACCAAGTTGCTAGTTCTGTCATATAGAAGAATTGTGAACCTTTCAAGCACAGCAACATCTGAATCTTGCATAAGTTGGGGCACCTCATTTAATCTTTTTAATGAGGCTGTTACTTCTTCAAACACATTCCATGTGTCCTATGCCCTTTTCTTCCCGACAGACCCAAAGGCAGATACTGTGTCGCAACCTCTATAAGCATGAAACATTGGCAGGGCAGCTGATTCTGCAGGACCAATTGGTGATGCAATTGGATGAGCAGGAATACAACGAAAATACTTTCCAACACCGAATGCTAGCTACCCCCATTTCTGCACCGAGAAGCTTGTTTACTTCTGCAACCTTTTTTATATGCATCAGCTTCTACAATATAGTTGGCTAGGAATGCAAACAACTCTTGTTTGTTTTGTTCAATTCGAAGAAACTGATTCCTGCTTCCTGGCAAGAGTAATGTTGATTGAACTCTACGTCTGATACCTTTCCCCCTTTTTGTCTTGTTTCAGATTTGAGACTGTTGAGTATGTACACGTCAAAGACAAGGTCCAATCTGCAGACCTTCTCCAGATGACTTTGTATGTACGGTACGAAGATCTTTGAAGCATACTCCCCAAAGGTCTTAACACCTTTCGGCTTGATCATGTTTACAATATTAGCTCCATCCATGATGATAATATTAACTAAAGGTACGACTATTTGGGACTCGGCGCAGCTTTCAAGACAGTGTAGTAGATCAGCTTTTTCCCCAGTCTAAGTGCACCACACTGAGAGAGCGAAGGGGGACATGGTTGATTTTCATGTTTGAAAAACTCCCCCATGTTGCCATCACGCATCTTGCAGGCAATTTTCAATATTAGAAAGAGAGAACAAACATTCTGGAGTAAAGATAACTGAAACTTTGCTTTAGACTTGGTTAATTCGGATGATCAACTGAACAGTTGCAGCTTGTTTCTCTTGATTGGATCCGTAAAAGGCACGGTACGATCTACAAATCTGTCTGTTACAAAAGAGCTATAGGCCTACTGCTCTTGGCCCAACTTGTAAGCCTTTTGCACAGATGTCACCACTGCATCATCCATTATGTCTCTTGTGTCGAGTCTAAGCAGATCATTGCTTCCTTCCAAGAAAGGGTTGCCCATTTCTTCCACCACCTCGACAAGTGCCTTGGTCTGAGAGGCAAACGTCATTTGTACAGCTATTGTTTGCTCATGATGTTTCGTTGCATAGGTTAAACCTCTGTTTTCTATAGACGACTCAAATTCAGAAATCGTGCTAGCAACTTCTGGTCCGGAAACCATCCATCGTCTGAGAGCCTCATTGTCTTGAGTTAGGCCAACAACGCTTGGTCAATTGCTATGGCTGAGATTGCAGAGTGACTCTTGTAAACTGTGAATTTCCACTTTTGAAATTCTTCAGCAATGTTGGGGTGTGTCTCGCTAAGACTCACCATGTCTCGTACGTGGATCGGCAGCCACCTCGCATAGTTGTTGTGATCTAGGCTGAAAAACCACGGCGTCAGCTTTGTGAGGCAGTCGATGTACAAACCAAAATTTGCTTCTCGGAGTGACCTGACGTAAGATAAGACAAGAAGCTCTAACTGTACAGTAGAGTACCAATACTGAAAGTGTGGATGTCTTTACACTTCATATTACACCAGTCATCTAGATCCATTGGTTGGTCTCATTTAGTAATGGCTTCTGTGTACTTGGTGTATACCTTCTTCAAAAGTATATACAAACTGCATGCAGTCACCTGATGAGCGTGCCTCGTTCGAGTGACATGGGATGCCTTGAGAAATGAGTCGGCTATTTCAGCTGATGTTATTTTGGCCTGCACGAGTGCTTCAACCCATCCACTATCTTCAAGCCAATCACCAATTGCCTTGAGAGCAGCCATTTTAGTATGCAATCCACCAAGAAGGATGAAAAAGTTATCCTCTCCGTACTGCTTTGGCCACCTCCACTGTATCTGTTTTGCAACTGCATACAATGCCTGATCCATTGTGATCACTGGTGTCTGACTAGGATTAAGATGTAGAACAGCCTTCTTAATCATCGCATAAGACTTGGATTGGTCGGGAAACAGGGGTAGCATTGCAGTAATTGCCGGTTCCAAATCATGCACACCTGTCTGACTTGCATGGTATGCACACCTGTCTGACTAGCATGGTATGCTGAACATGAAATGTTGCCGTCTCTTCCATTGTGTTGGAGATACATCTGTTGAAAATGCTGCGGCCTACTGAAAAGGAACAATACAAACAGAGAAAAGGTTTATAAGACATTACAATGGTTGTATCAAAGCAGGTGAACCCAAAAATTTTTCAGTAATTTCAGTTTCAACGTGTCTATACTTATGATGCTGTAGTAATTCGTGTTTTCTCCCGAAATGAGCTCTACTACTGTTTATCAAGCCTCGTGTCTGTTCTTACAAGTCGTGAAAAAAGGCACACAAAATGTTGGTTGTTTACGAGTTTTAATGCTCTCAAAATTCACAAGTTCGTCATGCACCTGCTATCCAATGATTAACAAACTTCTGGAACGTCAGTAGGTTTAAGCACACATCAATTGACTGAATAAAACTTGGTTGAGGAAACTTTCAACGTTGGAATAAGACTTGCACAAAGCAGAATGAAAAC